TTTTCGACGTCCCGTTTACGTTCGGAATAATTTTGGTAATTAAGTATTATGCTTAATAATTAATTAGGCATAAAGTAGTGATTAATTGGTAATTAATCACGCTTAACAAAACAAAAAGCCGTAGCATATGTGTATTAAATCCTAATTGCCGTAGCAATTTTAATTTCTTAAGCAAAGGGAAATCCTTCCTTTAGTCTAGCTTGAGGTGGCAATTTAAGGTGATGAGTCATCATTTTGATCAATATTAAGCTTACAAGTGTTATGTTGGTATGGATACAACAAAGCATAGCATCACCCTTAAATTTTTGTGTCCATACAGTTTTCAAGTATAAAAAAGGGTGACTTGGGAAGATTTTTCCCCACCTTCTTCAGCACACTATATATATATTGTAAGATAGAGGAGTTAGTGAGATTGAGAGGGAGTTAGCACCGCACCGCACGTAAGCTACCGCAAGCAACGCACGCACCGCACGCTGAGGGATCATAGTACACGCACGAGCGCCGCACCTAGCGGAGGTTATCGACAAGTGAAGAGGTAATCTCCTTGTTGAGATGAGTTGATAGTAGCGTGCTTATTTTCAGATCAAAGTCAGGTTCAAGATCATGTTAATTCCAATTAATTAGTCATGTTCATTGCTTCGGCCGTGCGTGTGGCGTAGGTTAATCATGTTCAGGTGTGAATCAACAATCTCTCGAGTAGTTGTTATATAATCAGCCTTTTTATTCAATATCATGTTCAGTTATATTGTGTTGCTCGATAAATGTTCATGTTGTTCGGTGATTCGGTCGAGGACGTGGTCGCGCACGTAGCGCGCACCACGGGCCGAGCACCATGTCTGATTATGTTAAGTATCAAACCATCGAGCTTTTCATGTCAATTCATTCAACAAATTTCATTTCATGTTCAGTATTGAGTGATTGCCGAGAGAAAGTCAGATTCGGTCGAGAGACGACTTACCGCCGTCGGCGGCGCACGGTGCGCTCGCCACGGCCATGTTCAACCTATTGTGCAAATTTTATATTTTGATGTAATTTCAGTATTCATGTTCAGGTCAGGTCAGCATATGTCATTTGGAGTTAAATTGTTCGAGTGAAGTTGCCGGACGACCGGCAAG